ATTCACTTTCTGTTCCTGGCCTACGAACCTAAAAATGTGACAAACCTTCCAATTCTTCCACAAACGTGGAACTCCAGAACGAGTTTGCAGGACTTGACTTTTAGATGGCAAGACATATTGTGGTCTGTGGGCCAGAGGAATGCGGATGTGTGAAGAGAGGATATGGCTACGGGCAGAAGTGGGCTCATCTGGGAGAGAGGAATGGGAGGTCCGCCAGTGTCGGCTGTCTAGGCAGCCCATGGAGAAGCAGGACAACAAGTTCTGCAGTACAAACGGAGCCCTTGAAGGCACCTAGATGATGGTGTTTGGGGGTATGAGGTCATTTTAGAAAGACAGTGCAGTAAAGAGAAAACAAGGACCACAACACTGCCAAAAGGGGTTTAAGAGAAGCAGTGTATTTATGGCACATTCCCGGGCACAGTGAACAAATGCAGAAAGTGGTGATAATGCAAAAAGTATAAAAGTTTTACTAAAATTAAGGTAAAACCCTACTGGGAGGCTATGGGAAGGGAGAAGGGGTATAAGAGCTAAAGCTTCGCTTCTTTCTAACAGGGAGCAAGGGTAGGTCATGTCTAAAGTGGTAAGACAAGACACATTAATTCGAAGAGGAAGGTAGCTACCAAAAGAATGGTCTAAAAGAATACAAGCAAATTGATTGCATCCGGAGTATGTGCCTGGTGGGGGGGAAGGACAGGCCAGGAAATACTTTACACATTCCAAATATTTTGATTTTTTTTTTTTTTTTTACCATGTGCTTGTAGTGTTTTGACAATTTTTTGAAGCATGTATGTACATCCCCAAGCATTCCCTGAAATCCAGAATCCCCAGGTCTGGGGTCCCAGGCACCTGCAGTTCGCCATGTGATTTGACAGAGCGAGTCCTGTCTCCCCACTTTTACAAACCAGACGGTATGGCAGCAACCAGAACAAGAGCAGTGCCCTAGGCCTGCTCAGATGAAGAGATCCCAGGGGCTGAAGAATCCTAGGATGTTTGTCCTCCAGGAGACTTGCATGTGGTTTTATTTTTTTATTTTTTATTTTTTTTGAGGTACTGGGGATTGAACTCACGACCTTGTGCTTGTCAGACAGGCACTTATGCCACTGAGCTATATCCCCAGCTCTCTGCATGTGATTTTAGTAGCAACATTGGTAAACATTTTAAAAGGGCAAACAAAAACTACCCATTGTGGTGACTTCATATTCCTCCCCTATCTGGGGGGGACTTCATGGATAGGTCAGGTTGCCTGGCCCTTCCCTAGGCCGCAAACCACAAACCTTGATTCAAAAATTAGCCTGGGGGAAAACATACAACCTCACAAAATGAGGGAAGCTTTTTAACTGAAGGATGTTAGATAAATATCTCTCCAACTCTGTACCTTCCATGGAAGTCATGTTCCATCAAACTCAATCTTTAAAACATTTTAAAGAATGTTAACAGGGTCTCTTGTGCCTGATGGCACGGATGTGTGGAATACTTAATAATCACAAGGTAGATGCTTCCTGGGCATCATAGTAATTTGTTCTGAGAAACCTTCTCCTGGTACATAATAGAACCATTGAGAATTAACTCAATTAGTTGTCAAAAAGCCGCCAGAGGCACACTACCCTTGTTTTTTCCTATCCTCTAGCCCTTCCCAGAAGTCAAGGCCAACAGAGAAAGAATTCTTCAAACACCCTGGTTTCTCTAGTGCAGGACCCTGGGTCAATTTGTTTGGCACAGTGGATTTTTCTACATATCTACACAAACTATTGATATAGCTTTCTCTAAATTAGGGATCACCTACAGCTAGAAAGTTGACTAAAATGTTTTTATGCATATTTCAATGCCAAATGAGATGGGCTGCATCTAAATGTTGATTTATCTTTTACATCTGTCATGTCTATATTACTTTTGTTAGATCACGAAGCTTGTTTTAAATAGGAAGTCACTGCCAAACAGGAAAATATTTTTGACGCTACCATGTCCTTGTTTTTAAAATTTCATCTAGAAACTGGAAAGTAGGTTTTTTGTTTTGCTTCAGTGGTGAGCTACCTAATCCAAATATCATTTACTGCACTGTATTGTAAAAGATTAATTCAGAATTTAGCCCATGCGAATATTACTTCTTCATGTATAGGAGCAACTATTCATCCAAACACTTATGGAGTACCTACTGTATACCCACTACTATTTTAGATTCTAGAGGTACATAAGTAAATAAAACACCAGCTTTAAAGTTCTGCTTAATTGGCTGTAAATTCTTGAGAGTGGTTTTAGAATAGGTATATGGGAATTCGTGATACTTTGTTTTTTTGAGGATAGATGACCATTTGTCATTTCCTGATGCCTGATCATCTTTAACACCTGTGACTATCATCATGCTGCATACTTCGGCATAACATACGCTGAAGATGAAAGACTAAAATATTCCCATCCCCTGTGAGGGCATGGAAGCCTTTCTCTTGGTCTTTCTCACCATCTTCCCCTTTCTTAGGCTGCTGCCTCCTGCAACTGCCTTCTTCAGGCGTCTACTTGCAAATGTCTATTCTTCATCTGAAACTCAGAATCATCCTCTGCTTGAGGGTTTCCTTACATGTCTCCCACCATTCTCCCTGCACTATTTCTATATATAAGTATGTAGTTTTATTATTGTATTGGTACAGTCTCTAAGATACCACTCATTATTTTTATACTGTAAACTTCTTGAGGGTAGAAACATTGGTCTCTTCATTTTTGCATCCCTCCTAATTAGTAAAATTCTGCCACATACCAAATGTTTTCTAAACTGAACCCAAGAGATAATTCCTCTATTGCAGTTTGTGGAATGTCATAGAACTGTGTTCACATTTTAAAAAAATCATCTCAGAATTACAAGCGAACATTAATTATTTAATATCTAATGAACATTGTGTTTTGTTCTATTAAACTCTTTTTAAATAAGGGAAATTTCCATCCCTATAAAAGCCTGATAACACTGTATAGTTAGTGACAAGCTTTACTTTTCAAAACTTTCTGTGGCTTCCTCCCCCACTCTCCTGATTGTAGTAGAGATTCATCATACAGTGTCGCCATTGCTTATTCAGATGCTTGAAGCCCTTTCTAGAAGTGAACTGAAAGTCAGGCCCAAGTCTTCCATCCTTGCAGTCCTGGTGTGGGGCAGTAACCACCACAGCAAGACACTCAAGAAGTATCTGTTCAACGCATAAACAGAAGACTAAACAGGAGACAGTGAATAGACTTAAATCCTTGGTTCTCTTCTATTAGGAACTACTTTGTGATTTTCTTTCATGAACAAAATCTGCTGAATTCTAAATAAAGCTTTGACTTTGTTGTTGAATAAGCCTCCTTAAATTGTGTAGGTGTGGCAAATTAATGAGTAGAAAAAAGATTTACTGTACAAATATTTTTACTTTATTTTGTCTTTTAAGTTTACACTGAGAGAAGTCTTTTCTTTTTTGAAACAGGGAATACCGGGTTCAATCAGAGAAAAATAACTAGGTCCTTTATTCAAAAAAGAAATAGATTTGTCAAGGTTTCACTGAAGTTCAAAAGCTCTGGGAATCATTTCCCCTTTTCTAAACTGCTACTTATCCCATAAGTTACTTTTGTTCTAGTAGAATAATTTTAATTAATGGTTGTGATTTTTTTTTTTTTTTTTTTTTTTTTTTTTTTTTTTTTTTTAGTGGCCTGATGGTGTGGATGCCTAGTAAAATATCACCAGATGTACAGGGATGTTGGAGACTGTCACTCTTGTAGAAAATGATGTAGCTTGATTTTTACAACAGGAGTGTTTGCAAAATGTGGTTCTGAAACTTCATCTAAATTTTTAGGAGTTGTATATAAACATGTACAACATTGTCACTTACCATCAAATGGCAGTTACTAATGGACTCACGGGGGCATCACACAAAAAGTTACTTATGCAGAATTTATTTCATAAGTTATACCATTGGTGAGTGTTAAAATGACAAGCATCAGAGGAAAACCTCAAGTTTATATTTTGTATCTCTACACACAAACCGCTCAAAAACTCATGAAGGTCAGTTCCTAAGTACACAGGTCAGAACTATCTTCAAAAAAGAATTCCCTAATTTGTGCACCTAATAGCATACTCTGACTTTATAAAGTTGATACTGGAAATTAAATCAATATTGCAAAAATGTAAAAGTGGTGCTGGGTCATATTTCTTTGCAGATATAATTACTGGACTATGTAAGACTCTAAGGCATTTTAAAAATAACCCCATAAAATTCTTGAATCAGCATTTTATGTGCATAAGTTCAGATTCAATGTCTTCATTTTTTCAGATAAGGAAATTAATATTTATAAGTTACAGGACTCATTCAAGGTCATGGGCCAGGAAGGGGAATTTAAAATCAGACCAAAATCAGACCTAGTTCATTACTTTTTTCTCTACTCTGTGCACTTTCCATATTCTAACTTTTCCTGCCCTTAACAATGTGCTTCTCTATTTCCATGTGAAATTAATTTCAGTTATAAGTTAGATGATATCCAAGTAATTATATATGAAATTAATTTGTAAGGACTAGAGAAACCCATATATTAAAATATTGTATGAAGACATATAAAGACCAATGCCATTTAAAGTTGAGTTTGAGATCAGCACACATTTTAAATATATAACCTGGGCAATTTAGGGTGAGAATATTACAAGATTAATATAGATTTGAAAATATCGGTGGCTGAATACAAGCCAGAAAAATGGGAAATGCTAATCACATCCCTAAGGAGGTGATCAGAGGTAAATTAGAAAATTGTCACTCTCAAGAGTATAGTGAATTCAGCAATCACAAGGGCTAGTCTGAAATAGGAGGAAAAATAATATGCAAAGTTGTTTCTAAATTATTTCAACCCAATAAAGTTAGGGAAAATACAATTTGTGATTTTCTGAAAGTGAACTGACCTTTGACTTCTGAATTAAAAACACCGGCGCAGTTCCATACATTCACCTTTAGAAAGAGATGCTGCAAAACCATTTTCTCCAGCATGGAGGAAATTACCTGTTTCCATTTTTCCATCCTGCGCGGCAGGCCCATCCGGAATCACGCTTTTCACCTGCAGAAACTCATCAGGCTCGTCTCCGCCAATGATGGTAAATCCAAAGCCCATGTTGCTCTTTTTTAGGGTGGTGCTGAGGAATGTTCCTTTCAACTGAGATGCATCCCGCGTGAAGAGTGGTTTTTCTACATTGGCCGATATAAGTTAAAAAAAGAAAAAAGAATGTTTAAGACAAGTTCTCAGGGAAGAAAAACTGGCCACTGGGCAGTGACCCCGGGCGTGGATGTGGGGATCTCATACAGTAAATGCAAGCAGGGCTGCCTGCAAAAATAGCGAGGCTATTAGATCTTCCCACAGACATAGAACAGTCCAAACATCCAGGCAAGAGGAGAGGCTGCTCAGCTCGGAGAGTGACTTTTTGTCCGGCATCATTTCTGTTCAATGCCTTAGCCTTCTTGCACTTAGCAAGGGCTGAATCAAAAGACTGCCAGAACCTTTAGATGAAGAAGACAAAGAACCCAACATCCAGACACATCTGAAGATGTTCTGCTCACAGCTATAAAAGACCCCAGGCAGGAGGTACGTATCTTAGAGCGGCCCATCCTGCACAGAACCTTGAAGAAATACGAGTGGAAAACACCAAAATGGAGTGTGTTTTGGTTGTTGCTTTAAAGAGACTAACATCACAGCACTTAGGCATGTGCAAGTATTATGGGAGAGAAGCAGTGACATATGACCACGACCCAAAGGTCCAAATCGTTTAGAAAGAGTGCCTGGATGTGGGACTGCGGTAATGTTCGTTTACAGCCCTACATCGTGAGAAGCTATAAAGACAACCAGATAAATACACACCTACTGATTCTGGAGCTCAGTGTATTCTAAAATGTGAGCAGAGGCAAGCTGGTATTTCTAGATATAATTATGAATGTAAAGGAAACACATTTTAAAATAATATCTTGACAGTTCAAATCCTATGTCTGAATAATCAAAACAGAGCTTGAACCCACACATATAGCCGGACAATTTGTTTTGTAGTAGGTTTTCCAGCTGTGGTTTGCAATGCATATATTTCTAAGTGTATTTAATGCCTTAAAAATAACAGGCACATGAAGAAACAGGAGGAAACAGAATTAGTATCTCCTCCAAATCTCACCTCAGATTGGCATCTTATATGATCCTTTTTTAGCTGTTACTTTTGGGGTGATTTAATATATGGTATATATTAACTGAAGTATCTTGTATGGCACTTTTGGAACATTCTGGGTGATATGTAATAAACTGTAAAACAGTCTGCTTACATATCACATTTAGCTTTATTAGAAACAGAACTTCTTTAAAATACAAATAGAAAACAAGCCACATAACATCTCACCTACATTTATCAAGCCTGCCCCTTGCAGTCCTTTACATTCACATGATCTACTATAGTTGTGCTGCAGCCGTGCAGTGTGGACCTTGTCAGTGGGCTCCTGACTCCAAAACCTCTTTTGTGCATCTTTTTAAATAAGTAGAAGCCATACGCGGTGAAGAGTGTGCGCCCATCCCATTCTGTGACTCCCAGGCACAGTCAGATCCGTATGTGGCCTGGTGACCTACCGAGTGGCCAGGGCCTCCCTGCGTGGACGCGCCAACAGAAAGACAAATCACTCACACTGTGCGACCTCTCCGGGACAGGGCGCCAACAGGTGGATTTGGGCCTAGGTAATGTTGACGAGGATCTGCCTACTGTTACAAAGGAGAACAAGCCTTATTCTTGTGCTCGGTCTTTAGAAGACAAACTTATGAGTGTCTGCTTCTCTGTAGTTTACAGTGCAACTGTTGCAGCCCACAGCCTGACCTGGCAGTGTGCTATGCCTTCCTCTAAGGGACGCCTGAGGCCTTCTCTACTCTCTGGGTCCCAGCTGTGTTAGTTGGGAAATACTTCACAGCCCCTGCTAAAGCCAGCCGGAAGGACTGAGGAGAGCAAAGTAGGTAGCTGCGATGGCGCAGGCTGGAGCAGAGAGTTTGTCACACACGTCCCCTGCACACTGCATGCAGACATAGTACAGTACCTCGGAAACCTGGGGCCTGCAGGGGCTTGGTTCCAAGTTCTGTGTGGGGCATGTTATGCTGCTGTAGCTTCCTTTTTGCTTCCAGGACAGGGTTTTCAAACTGTGTTCTTCTATTTATGTGGCTAAAAAAGAAAATTTCCAATGAGGATAGCAGCAGGGAAATGTTATTTAAGAGAACATATGGATGGGTTTATACAGAGCATGTGATGAAAGGACACCATATCTGATTAGGGCCAAGTGCCTCACCCAGCATGCAGCCGGGCTTCTGATGGGGTGGACTGTGCCCGGTACACATGCCTATTGCCAGTGGGGAGTTCCCAACGGCTTCATCTTGCTAGTGGGTTCACATTACGCATGATTTAGCCAACAGAACCAAAATGGGCAATTGCTTCCTGGCCTATGGTGTTAGTTTCGCATGGGTTTGATGGATTCAAAGCAATGGTGAAGCAATGAAATTCATACTGCATAGTATTGAAGAATATCAGCTTAGCTTTGCAAAATCCTTATCTCAGACAGGATACACGTGAAATAAATTCACTGACAATAGAGCAACCGAAGCCTATGCTTTCTTATATTCAGACCTGGATGGAAGGGCTGGGATCCAGGGGAAGGTTGCCACATTGATATAGGAGAGCTATAGAATACCAGTGGACAGGAGATGCTGAAATGCAGGAGAAGCAGTTATCAAACTCAGGCAGAGAGTGGTAGGAGCAACTGTGGCCCAGTTAACCTGAAGGCCTAGAGAGTCCGAAAACTATGTATTCCTGTATAGCAGGCTGTTCTTGTCGGGGAGGGCGGAAACAAACATCTCTGCCTTGTGGTGGTGGCCGTGTTTTGCTTTCTCTAGGACATACATGGACCTGGGGAGGACTAGCATAGACATTTATTTTGGTTCCTTGTATAAACAGACTGTGCTGTGAAAGCACAGAGACGAGAGACAGGTTAGAAAAGGAACTGAGAGTTCCCAAGTATTTAACTCCATTCCACTTACTATATATGATATTCTCAGCTAAGCTTCAGAGCAACACGGTTCTAAATTCTAATCATCCCCATTTTAAAAGCAATGAGACAGACACACAGAGAAATCAAAAGACTTGTTCTAAATCACAGGACCTGTAATTGGAAATCTGGGATCTGACCATCATGTCTATTTCTATAAATGATCTTCTATCTATATATTTTCTCTCTTCAGTGTGTGATTTCCCTTTGGCGAGTGCAGCATTTAGCGTGTATACATGCGCGCACACACACCCATACACACACAAACCATCCATTACGTCTGCTAATAGCACATACATCAGAAAGGAGAGCAGATAAAAGGAGCAAAATCGCAACAGCCAATTTTCTATTATTATAAATCAGATGCTGTCTGGGGAGACAGAAAAACGGTTGCAGGAAGTGTGATAAAAAGATCGTAATATCTAGTCCTTTCCTATGGGAGGCTGGCCAAGATAGCTGTCTGCCACATCAGCCCTGGACTCAAGCAGTCCTGTATTCAAAGTCCAGCTCCACTACTGGCTTGGTTGTGTGACTTTGGACAAGCTGCCTGCCCGACCTGTTTTTGCGTCTCCGAGTTCCCTTCCCAACCTCTTCCAGCTGCGCTCCCATCTGAAGTTACACCCTTCCCCTGTGCTCTCATAAAACCTTGAACTGACCTCTCTCATTGCAGTTTGATTATTTTCTTATATCGCTCCTCATTAAGAGGATTTGAGGAATTTCTAAAGAACAAGTAAACAAAATTAGGGTGAATGTACTTGAATCTACGTGGAAGGTAAATAGTTAATATACGGCCCTATTTTCTCACTGAAGCTGTGCTACAAATTAGATTTGAGCTTTCAAGCTGTCAATTCAAACAAAGAAAAGAGCCAGTCAGATTCTCCAAAATATTTAAGACAAACCCGAGCCAGCTGTTTAGAAGGACGTAGTATTCCAGTTATTAAGTCGTAGGAACAGCTTCTGTCCAAATCTTGGGTACAGAGGTTTCTGTGATGTAGCATAACAGTTCCACAGTAATGAATTTCATTGTCTCTTCTAACTTTAGCGATTGATTTTCATATTCATTTCTTTCCCTACATCATGGACTGCTATGTACAGGAACCACATTTACTGATCTTTGTATACTAAGCATCTGACACACTGAAAGACAATAATTTTTATTAAGTAACTAAATTATGCATGTGTTAAGGATTTTGTTTTCAAATACATGTCAGTAACTCCAACAAACCAAGAAATATCTTTGAAGTACACTGAAGAATCAGCATTTCTGATTTGCTATCTGTTCTACTTCTATTCTGCTAGGTTATTGTTCATCACATGTATAACTTTATTCTTAGAAAATCTAAGAATCCTGTGAGATACACACTATATGGCATCTCTAACTTTCCACTTGTATTTAATTATTTCCTTAGAAAAATCAATAACTAGCCAGCTGCTTTATGGACACTGTTGAAATTGTTCCATTCATCATCAAAGTAAGTTTCTAGAGCTCACGGAGAATGAAAAATACTAAGAACTAGTTTGGCATGGCTCGAACCCTCCAAATAGTAGAAGCTGGGTAGATTTAGTTACCCTAGCCAGATTGCTATAGAACATTTACATTGTCATAAAATAGGTCATTCCTCTAAAACCTGAAATACTCCCACTATCTAAAAAATGTTACAGTAGTTGAATAGAGAAGATTCATCTTCCTTATGATTACAAACTGAATGTATTTAAAGTCTTTTTAGGGGCTGGGGATTTAGCTCAGTGGCATAGCACCTCCCTGGCAAGTGTGAGGTCATAAGTTCGATTCCTAGTACCAGAAAGAAACCAAAATAAAAAAAAATTAAAATCTTTTTAGCTAGGCTGTGGAGGTCTTGCAATGTAGACCAAGAATGTGAGAGACAAATGTCACTTTCTTGTTCATTGCTTAGTCTCTGTGATAAATCCTAGCTATTTCATCTAGTTCCCATATAAAACAAGAGCCTGGGAATCTACTAAGAGTTCTTAGCCTTTAACCCCATCTAGTCTTTTGTCAAATTTTACTCTTCAGATATTAAAAACTAAGGCCATAAGATCCATATTGTGAAGTGGGAATATCCTAACAACTCCATTTCCCCTTGCAGAAGGGGAAAGGCCATGGATATCAGAAGCTTTGATGTTGGATGGCGAAATGATGAGGGCGTTCAAGGGTGAGATTCTATCTCCTTCTCTCTTTGGTTTTCCGTTCACTCCTCTGCACCATGAGCTGGAAACTTGCCATAGTACATATATGGCAATGTCTTCAAAGTTTCACCTGTGAAGATTTAAAAATACAGAAGGCCAGATGACGCAGGCCAGCCCTACAGATCCATTGATTCATAATCTCAGAATTGAAAACAGGTATTCATATTTTTAAAAAAAGCTTTTGAGGTAACTCTAATGTGTTTCAGGCTTGCAGTCTTCTGAATTGGAAGCCGAGAAAGTGCAAGCAGGTATTGCATGAGGGGTGTCACACCTGGTAAGATTTTTGTGGAAGTCTCTCTTTCAATACGTGGCCTTGGATAGCCCCAGGAAATGCTATTTTTTGCTTTAGAGAAGGTCTTCTGTCATCAGAAGTTTCAGACATACACAGAAAGAAGAAAATATTTGTAGCTGACTAGATGAGATGCTGCTGAAGGTCGTTGCAGACCAGGGTCCTGTTTGACCACCTCTTCTTTCACTGGGGCAGGGAGTGGAGGCATGAGGAGATGAGCCATCCAGGCTGAGCCCTTCTGTGTCCTGTCTGCTTCAGGCCACCAAAGCTGTTATCTGACCCTCATCATTAGTGTCCTCATCTTCCTCCAGACTGTTCTTTCTCACCTTGCTTTCCTCAGGGTTTTGGAGAGGGCCATTTCCATGAATGACACTTTCATATGCATGGGCTACTATCACACCATCTTCACTTCAGTTGGCAATTCAGAATTAGATCTTTGGGTCAATGTCAAAGGCAAAATAGAACAGCTTTGAAGTGAGGTCCACAGGCAAAATATTTCCAATATGATCAAGGCAATTGTGCTAATTATGCCAAGAGATGAGCTCACCAGTGCTTACAAAATATTTGTTGAATAAATGAACAGATGGAGTCAAGCATGCATGGAAAGCGATAGCACTCACTGTTTTTCACTCTCTCATAACACGTACATGGTGACAGTCAGACCCGATGTGAAACTTAAGGCTATCTTATGTGATATAACCATTCTGCAGTTGGGTAAATAAACATCCATGGGATTCTTCAGGCAGAGAATCTTCTTAGACATTCTAATAATAGGGGCAAAGCCGTCCCACTTCAGTGATAAAATACTTGGATCCAGGGAGCTCTACACTGCAGCTGTCACAACAGAAGTGTGCTCAGATGGAAAGGCGCTATGTTAGGGATCAGTGTGGGAGTACGGGGGTGGTCACTCTGCACAGGGACTGGGAAGACCAGCTGAGGATGTGGCCTTGCAGCTTCCTGTGTCACCCCTTCTTTGCAAGCTTACATCTTCTGGAGCTTCCTGAATGAACGCACAGACGGTGGATTTCCTGGCTGCCTGAAATTTCCTCAACCTTCTCTGGCCCTAACTATGAGTCCCTGCTTCTGCATTACTACCACCTCCACTCGAACCCCTGGACTATGGCTGCATTGGCAACCAAACACACACAACGCACCATGCTTCTCTACATTAACGTATGTCTGAAGAAGATGACTCTGACAGTGTTGGTGAACCTACAGCACTGTTTGTTATCAGCAAAAGCTCTAAAAGGTTCACCATCACTGCTCTATGATGTTTTCTTTCAAATCTGAGTAATTGGCATGAAAGTATTTCAAATGCAATAAAATTACTTCATGCTTTAGGAACAAAGAGTGGATAACGACCCCACAAGAACAATCTGGGGCGATGCACATCACCAAAGGCAGGATCCTGTCACCAAGAGCTTGGTCTCTGTAGTCACGGTGCTCACACTCACACCCAAGTCCGTCACACTCACTCATGGCACATGATCTTGGGGGTGGCATTTACGTTCTTTGGGCTTTAGAATTTTTTATTGTAAAATTGGGATAAAAATTGTATCAACCTCATACAGTTGCTATGCCTGTGAAATGAGTTAAAATGAGTAAACCACTTAAGAACAGTATAAGTAC